TTGCATTCGTCAGCTCTCGCAGTCTTCATGCATCTTTTTAATCTTATTTGGTTGCAAGGGGTTCTTTCCCTGTTGTGGAAAACTGCCGTTGTACTGCCTGTTCATAAACCGGGTACTTCGGGCCATGATGCCTCACTCTATCGTCCCATTGTGCAGTTTGCAAGTTAATGGAACTTTTAGTAAATAAATGTTTGGTGTGGTATTTAGAAACACAATATTCTCTCCACTAACACCCTTACTTTGTCTTCCCTCCTTGCTGACGGCCCCACCTTTGACACAGACTCCCTCTTTCACTTTTTGAGAGCAACAGATTTAATACACAATCTTTGATTATACTTCCTTTAGCGCTCCTCAGCGCCCTTACAAACTCTACCTTCGTTATACTCTCTGCCCTTACTAGTTTGAGATCAAGCACATTTCACAGCACACCATACCCTGTAGTGCTGAATGACCCTTGTGAGTTTAGCACTTAGTTGTGGTTATAATAATTAGTAATGTAACTTATAAGCAGCTTCAAACTTATTGTACTTATGTATTTTAGGATATTGGTCTCTGTGAGATAATAAGAGAGTGCCTCTTCAGTTTGACTTCAAAGCTGGTGTTTCTTAGCGCAATATTTTAATTAATTTTGGCCTGTGTATGCCCTAACTTGTCTTTTTAAGAATTAAAAAAAATAAATACTATTTTCGATGTGATAACTGGCGGTTGCGTCATTTGTTTTGCTGCATATATTCAACGTTAATATTTGACAGCATTGCAAACTTGTGCAGTAATCTGCATTGTTCCTCTTATGTGCATTGAGGTTCAGGGGGCTGGGGTTATGCAATACGGGGATATCTTTGTCGGATCACACAACGACCGAAAATTATAAAGTTATTTTAATCATGTCAGTAAATGGCCTAAGTTTTAAAAAGACTTGCAAAATGTTTCACCCCACCCCAGGGTTGAAACCGGATCCTTTCAGTTGTAAACTGAATACTTTACAAGTGAACCACGAAACTGTTATTGCCAAAATTCTGTGTCAAAATAAGGATTTTGGAAAAGAAAAAATGTGGGATTAATTGTCAGCCTAGTGCAAAAAAGTCATTTAATTGCATCGATATCCCCTCCAGCTAGGTTCCTTGATCCGAGGAACAGGAGCTGTGCTCCAAATCCTTCAAACGATCCTCCAATAACTTCCACAGGCGTTGTATGACCCAGAGAGTTTAACGCCTACTCCACGAATTTAATACTACGAATAATAATAACAACAATAATATATAATAATAATAATAATAATAATAATTTAATAATAATAAATAATAATAATATAATAATAATAATAATAATAATAATAATAATAATAATAATAATAATAATAATAATAATAATAATAATAATAATAATAATAATAATAATAATAATAATAATAATAATAATAATAATAATAATAATAATAATAATAATAATAATAATAATAATAATTGCGTAGGTTTTCAAGCGGCATTAGTGTTCAACATGAGAGTCTTCTTCAGTGACTGTCACGTGTGCTTGCCCCTGTTCATCAATAATCAGTATTCAGTCTTGAACAATAGAGGTGTTCAACAGCAGCACCAACAGCAGCAGATGAAGCACCAACAGCAGCAGATGAAGCACCAACAGCAGCAGATGAAGCACCAACAGTAACAAATGAAGCACCAACATCAGCAGTGAAGCACCAACAGCAGTAGATGAAGCACCAACAGCAGCAGATGAAGCACCAACAGCAGCAGATGAAGCACCAACAGCAAGAGATGAAGCACCAACATCAGCAGTGAAGCACCAACAGCAGCAGATGAAGCACCAACAGCAGCAGATGAAGCACCAACAGCAAGAGATGAAGCACCAACATCAGCAGTGAAGCACCAACAGCAGCAGATGAAGCACCAACAGCAGCAGATGAAGCACCAACAGCAAGAGATGAAGCACCAATAGCAGCAGATGCAGCACCAACAGCAGCAGATGAAGCACCAACAGCAAGAGATGAAGCACCAATAGCAGCAGATGCAGCACCAACAGCAGCAGATGTAGCACCAACAGTAACAAATGAAGCACCAACAGCAAGAGATGAAGCACCAACATCAGCAGTGAAGCACCAACAGCAGCAGATGAAGCACCAACAGCAGCGGATTAAGCACCAACAGCAGCAGATGAAGCACCAACAGCAGCGGAAGCACCAACAGCAGCGGATGCAACACAAACAGCAGCAGATGAAGCACCAAAAGCAGAAGATGCAGCACCAACAGCAGCAGATGAAACATCAACAGCAGCAGATGCAGCACCAACAGCAGCAGATGAAGCACCAACAGCAGTAGATGAAGCACCAACAGCAGTAGATGAAGAACCAACAGCAGCAGATGAAGCACTAACAGCAGTAGAAGAAGCAGCAACAGCAGCAGATGAAGCACCAACAGCAGTAGATGAAGAACCAACAGCAGCAGATGAAGCACTAACAGCAGTAGAAGAAGCAGCAACAGCAGCAGATGAAGCACCAACAGCAGCAGATGCAGCACCAACAGCAGTAGATGAAGAACCAACAGCAGCAGATGAAGCACTAACAGCAGTAGAAGAAGCAGCAACAGCAGCAGATGAAGCACCAACAGCAGCAGATGCAGCACCAACAGCAGCAGATGAAACGTCAACATCAGCAGATGAAGCACCAACAGCAGTAGATGAAGAACCAACAGCAGTAGATGAAGCACCAACAGCAGCAGATGAAGCACCAACAGCAGCAGATGAAGCACCAACAGCAGCAGATGCAGCACCAACAGCAGTAGATGAAGAACCAACAGCAGCAGATGAAGCACTAACAGCAGTAGAAGAAGCAGCAACAGCAGCAGATGAAGCACCAACAGCAGCAGATGCAGCACCAACAGCAGCAGATGCAATACCAACAGCAGCAAATGAAGCACCAACAGCAGCAGATGCAACACCAACAGCAGCAGATGAAGCACCAACAGCAGCAAATGAAGCACCAGCAGCAGCAGATGCAACACCAACAGCAGTAGTTGAAGCACCAACAGCAACAGATGAAGCACCAACAGCAGCAAATGAAGCACCAACAGCAGCAGATGCAACACCAACAGCAGCACATGAAGCACCAACAGCAGTAAATGAAGCACCAACAGCAGCAGATGCAACACCAACAGCAGCAGATGAAGCACCAACAGCAGCAGATGAAGCACCAACAGCAGCAAATGAAGCACCAACAGCAGCAGATGCAACACCAACAACAGCAAATGAAGCACCAACAGCAGCAGCTGCAACACCGGCAACAGCAGATGAAGCACCAACAGCAGCAAATGAAGCACCAAAAGCAGCAGATGAAGCACCAACAGCAGCAGATGAAGCACCAACAGCAGTAGATGAAGAACCAACAGCAGCAGATGAAGCACTAACAGCAGTAGAAGAAGCAGCAACAGCAGCAGATGAAGCACCAAAAGCAGCAGATGAAGCACCAACAGCAGCAGATGAAGCACCAACAGCAGTAAATGAAGCACCAACAGCAGCAGATGAAGCACCAACAGCAGCAGATGCAACACCAAGAGCAGCACATGAAGCACCAACCGCAGCAGATGCAACACCAAGAGCAGCACATGAAGCACCAACAGCAGCAGATGCAACACCAAGAGCAGCACATGAAGCACCAACAGCAGCAGATGCAACACCAAGAGCAGCACATGAAGCACCAACAGCAGCAGATGCAGCACCAACAGCAGCGGATGAAGCACCAACAGCAACAGATGAAGCAGAAAAAGCAGAAGATGCAGCACCAACAGCAGCAGATGAAACATCAACAGCAGCAGATGCAACACCAACAGCAGCAGATTAAGCATCAAAAGCAGCAAATGCAGCACAAACAGCAGCAGATGAAGCACCAACAGCAGCAGATGAAGCACTAACAGCTGCAGATGAAGCCCTAACAGCAGCAGATGAAGCACCAACAGCAGCAGATGAAGCACTAACAGCAGCAGAAGAAGCACCAACAGCAGCAGTTGAAGCACTAACAGCAGCAGATGAAGCACCAACAGCAGCAGATGAAGCACCAACAGCAGCAGATGAAGCACCAACAGCAGCAGATGCAGCACCAATAGCAGCAGATGAAGCGCCAACAGCAGCAGCTGCAACACCAATAGCAGCAGCTGCAACACCAATAGCAGCAGAAGCAGTAGTAATCGAAGCAAGCAACAGCAGCTAATGCATCACCCTCATTTCTCATATATGAGATACCGCAACAGCGTCAGCAGCACCAGTACATGTAGCAATAGCAGCACTATTAACAGCAACAGCAGCACCACCCCACTAGTAAAACTGGGGATACTGCAGCAGCACCAGAGCTGTACCAGCACCACTACCGACAACAGCACCACAGGGGCACTTGGAGCACCACTACCAGCACCATCACCATCACTAGTTATATGGCTACACCGCAGCAGTATCAGCAGCAATAACAGTACACGTAGCAGCAGCACCACCAGCAGCAGCAGCTGGTGGTGCTGGTTCAGTTTGACAATATGTATCTCCACCGTCGTGGAAGTAGATCATCCAAGTCAGGTTTTTCAGTCATTAATCAGTTGTGTCAGGCAGAATACCAGCGCCAGACAACACTGCTCTCTTGTCAGGAATGATGCCTGATCAGCAGGAAGGGATGTCAGCAGCAGGAAGGGGTGAATCATCAGCAGGAACGGGTGTGTCAGTAGCAAAGAGTGTTAAGTGCAGGAAGGGGTGCATCAGCAAGAGGATGGGATGTCAGCAGCAAGGAGGGAAGTGCGTGTCTCAGCAGCAGGAACAGGTGTGTCAGCAGCCTAGAACAGGTGTGTCAGCAACCCGGGACAGGTGTGTCAGCGGCCCGGAACAGGTGTGTCAGCGGGAACTAGCTGGCGCAGGTCAAGATCGATGTGGGGGGTTGGAAGAGAGGTTGCGTAGTCCCCTCCCCCATCCCACCATCCCCACGCGTCAGCCAGCGGCTACACCGTCGCCACCACCGTCAGCTTCACTACGCCGCTCCCTCCCGGACTTGTTGCACGTGCCGGACCTGCTGCCACCGCCGCCGTTGCCACCCTCCCGCCGCCGCTGCCATCACGCCCCCGCCACCCCACAAAGGCAGCTGTTGGCTGACACTTTTCCCATATCCCTTTTCCCCATCCCTCCAACCTGACTTTCCTTCCCTTACCTCAACCAACACAAGGGTAACCTTGTGGTATCGTCCCCAACCACCCCAACGCACCACCTGTCGCACATTCCCCAACACACTCCCACCTGTCGTACGTCCCCCCACACCGCCTCAACACACGGCTACCTGCAGTGGACCTTTGTGTTTGTGTTTGAGTGAAGGCAACTTCATAGTCTTATCCTATACAGGGTAGTACAGCCTTGTACTCGAATCTACCTCCTCCTCGACGAGAGTAGAGCCTCTTACTCAACTGTTCCAGTAGCTCCTAATCGTCCTTCTGGTGTGGAAGTCGTGTGAGCACCACCATTATGGCAGCGTTGGAGTCGTGGCCACAGCAAGTTGACCCTCCACCTCAGGACGAGGAAGAAGAATCCTCGCATGACCGTCTAATGTAAGTACTGTTTCTCACATACGAGGCTCGTACACACATACATAGGGAGCTGTGACTGTGATGTTGAGATGAGGGTTTTTTTTAATGTGCCTACACACACACCAGAAGCTTGCTTATCTTAGATTGTACAGATTATCAAATCTTCCTCTCAACATGCGTGTGTAAGCGTACAAAAGCACTCAGATATTACTCAGATATTATTTTCTCTATATTTTTTTATTCATTCGCTCATGTGTTTTACAATATACCCACAATGGACTGGCTGAGTGTGGCCACAAAAATGTCTTACTGCCGACAAAATCAAGACGCTTTGATGAAACTCTCCGCAGAGCGAAGAGTGATGAGAGCGAAACATTGTCCCAGTGAAAGTTTCTTCTCTCGGGTGTATACTTGGATGAATATACCAGAACGCCGTTAATTTGGTAAAATACCAATGTTTTCATGAAAGCCAGACTAGACAGTCCCCTTGTGAAGTTTATAAAATATGACTGTTAATGAAGCACTGGTGTGGTGGCCAAGTACTGGTGTGGTGGCCAAGTACTGGTGTGGTGGCCAAGTACTGGTGTGGTGGCCAAGTAATGGTGTGGTGGCCAAGTACTGGTGTGGTGGCCAAGTACTGGTGTGGTGGCCAAGTACTGGTCTGGTGGCCAAGTACTGGTGTGGTGGCCAAGTACTGGTGTGGTGGCCAAGTAATGGTGTGGTGGCCAAGTACTGGTGTGGTGGCCAAGTACTGGTGTGGTGGCCAAGTACTGGTCTGGTGGCCAAGTACTGGTGTGGTGGCCAAGTTCTGGTCTGGTGGCCAAGCACTGGTGTGGTGGCCAAGTACTGGTGTGGTGGCCAAGTACTGGTGTGGTGGCCAAGTAATGGTGTGGTGGCCAAGTACTGGTGTGGTGGCCAAGTACTGGTGTGGTGGCCAAGTACTGGTGTGTTGGCCAAGTAATGGTGTGGTGGCCAAGTACTGGTGTGGTGGCCAAGTACTGGTGTGGTGGCTAAGTACTGGTGTGGTGGCCAAGTACTGGTGTGGTGGCCAAGTACTGGTGTGGTGGCCAAGTACTGGTGTGGTGGCCAAGTACTGGTGTGGTGGCCAAGTACTGGTGTGGTGGCCAAGTACTGGTGTGGTGGCCAAGTACTGGGTGTGGTGCCCAAGTACTGGTGTGGTGGCCAAGTACTGGTGTGGTGGCCAAGCACTGGTGTGGTGGCCAAGTACTGGTGTGGTGGCCAAGTACTGGTGTGGTGGCCAAGTACTGGTGTGGTGGCCAAGAACTGGTGTGGTGGCCAAGTACTGGTGTGGTGGCCAAGCACTGGGTGTGATGGCCAAGTGGGTGTGGTGGCCAAGTACTGGTGTGGTAGCCAAGTACTGGGTGTGGTGGCCAAGTACTGGGTTTAGTGGCCAAGTACTGGTGTGGTGGCCAAGTACTGGTGTGGTGGCCAAGTACTGGGTGTGGTGGCCAAGTACTGGGTGTGGTGGCCAAGTACTGGTGTGGTAGCCAATTACTGGGTGTGGTGGCCAAGTACTGGGTTTAGTGGCCAAGTACTGATGTGGTGGCCAAGTACTGGGTGTGGTGGCCAAGTACTGGGTGTGGTGGCCAAGTACTGGTGTGGTAGCCAAGTACTGGGTGTGGTGGCCAAGCATTGGGTTTAGTGGCCAAGTACTGGTGTGTTGGTCAAGTGCTGGTGTGGTGGCCAAGTACTCGTATGGTGGCCAAGTACTGGTGTGGTGGCCAAGTACTGGTGTGGTGGCCAAGTACTGGTGTGGTGGTCAAGCTCTGGTGTTATTGCTGTTCTTACTGCTGAACAGCGGTTTGGTGCCGATGAAGGTAGCGTAGGTAGCAATGATACGGCCGTGGACTAGTTTGGCTTTAATTGGATAGGAGTGAGTACACAACGGGCAGTGTGAGGGAGTGACCGCAAGCCAGTCCGTGGAGGAGGAGCACTTGTGTCTATCAAGTCGGTCGGCCTACGAGTGAGCGGGAGGCATGGGCCGGCAGGCTGGCGTGCCTGCCTAGAGGCCTGGCTACAGAGGGCAGCACCTGAGTGGCGCGAAATATGAACTAAGCTGGCAGACAGCATGGGCTGTCTGTGCAGACAGTACAGGCTGTCTACATACGCTCGGCCACCTACCGCGCGTCCTCCCGACGCGACAATACTGGTGGTAAAAGAAACTCGGTCTCTCTCTCGTAGGAACAGGGCACAGAACACAAAAATAAAAACGTATATATACATATGAACATGGAAAAAAAAACTTCCTACAGGGAGGGAAGAAAAAAACATGTGGGGTGTGCTAAATATCGTGGTCATAGGCAATGAGCGTCGAAGGGCATCACTGCACGCCTTCTTGCGTCTGGACAGATACTGCAACACGGGAGACATCGCTGCGGCTGAGCTGTGACGTAACAAGTTACGGTCTCCTCTGGAACGGTGAAGCAGACATCGTAGGAGTCGCTGCAGGTTTCACTCAACCTGGGGCACAACATGCTGGTGCCCTCGAGTGAGGCGTGTACTGGTGTGGTAGCCAAGTACTGGGTTTGGTGGTCAAGTACTGGGTTTAGTGGCCAAGTACTGGTGTGGTGGCCAAGTACTGGGTGTGGTGGCCAAGTACTGGTGTGGTGGCCAAGTACTGGTGTGGTGGCCAAGCACTGGTGTGGTGGCCAAGTACTGGTGTGGTGGCCAAGTACTGGTGTGGTGGCCAAGTACTGGTGTGGTTTCCAAGAACTGGTGTGGTGGCCAAGTACTGGTGTGGTGGCCAAGCACTGGGTGTGGTGGCCAAGTGGGTGTGGTGGCCAAGTACTGGTGTGGTAGCCAAGTGCTGGGTGTGGTGGCCAAGTACTGGGTTTAGTGGCCAAGTACTGGTGTGGTGGCCAAGTACTGGTGTGGTGGCCAAGTACTGGGTGTGGTGGCCAAGTACTGGGTGTGATGGCCAAGTACTGGTGTGGTAGCCAATTACTGGGTGTGGTGGCCAAGTACTGGGTTTAGTGGCCAAGTACTGGTGTGGTGGCCAAGTACTGGGTGTGGTGGCCAAGTACTGGGTGTGGTGGCCAAGTACTGGTGTGGTACCCAAGTACTGGGTGTGGTGGCCAAGCATTGGGTTTAGTGGCCAAGTACTGGTGTGTTGGTCAAGTGCTGGTGTGGTGGCCAAGTACTCGTATGGTGGCCAAGTACTGGTGTGGTGGCCAAGTACTGGTGTGGTGGCCAAGTACTGGTGTGGTGGTCAAGCTCTGGGTGTGGTGGCCAAGTACTGGTGTGGTGGCCAAGTACTGGTGTGGCGGCCAAGAACTGGTGTGGTGGCCAAGTACTGGTGTGGTGGCCAAGTACTGGGTGTGGTGGCCAAGTACTTGGTGTGGTGGCCAAGTACTGGTGTGGTAGCCAAGTACTGGGTTTGGTGGCCAAGTACTGGGTTTAGTGGCCAAGTACTGGTGTGGTGGCCAAGTACTGGTGTGGTAGCCAAGTACTGGGTGTGGTGGCCTAGTACTGGGTGTGGTGGCCAAGTACTGGTGCTGTAGCCAAGTACTGGGTGTGGTGGCCAAGTACTGGGTGTGGTGGCCAAGTACTGGTGTGGTGGCCAAGTACTGGTGTGGTGGCCAAGTACTGGTGTGGTGGCCAAGTACTGGTGCTGTAGCCAAGTACTGGGTGTGGTGGCCAAGTACTGGGTGTGGTGGCCAAGTACTGGCGTTGTGGCCAAATACTGGTATGGTGGCCAAGCACTGGTGTGGTGGCCAAGTGCTGGTGTGGTGGCCAAGCACTGGGTGTGATGGTCAAGCACCGGTGTGGTGGTCAGGCACTGGTGTTGGCCAGGCACTGGTGTTGTGGCCAAGCACTGGTGTGGTGGTCAGACACTGGTGGTGGCCAGGCACTGGTGTGGTGGCCAAGCACTAGTGTGGTGGCCAAGCACCGGTGTGGTGGTCAGGCACTGGTGGTGGCCAGGCACTGGTGTGGTGGCCAAGCACTGGTGTGGTGGCCAAGTGCTGGTGTGGTGGCCAAGCACTGGGTGTGATGGCCAAGTACTGGTGTGGTGGCCAAGCACCGGTGTGGTGGTCAGACACTGGTGGTGGCCAGGCACTGGTGTGGTGGCCAAGCACTGGTGTGGTGGCCAAGCACTGGTGTGGTGGCCAAGTACTGGTGTGGTGGCCAAGCACCGGTGTGGTGGTCAGGCACTGGTGGTGGCCAGGCACTGGTGTGGTGGCCAAGCACTGGTGTGGTGACCAAGTGCTGGTGTGGTGGCCAAGCACTCGGTGTGATGGCCAAGTACTGGTGTGGTGGCCAAGCACTGGTGTGGTGGTCAGACACTGGTGGTGGCCAGGCACTGGTGTGGTGGCCAAGCACTGGTGTGGTGGCCAAGCACTGTTGTGGTGGCCAAGTACTGGTGTGGTGGCCAAGCACTAGTTGGCCAACACCATCTTCATGGTCGTGAAATTTCCTTAGCTATTTTAGTTATATAGAATCCATATAATTCCCATGGAACAATTTGATTCTTCAGTGCCGATGAGGATCCTAAGTGTCATGGAAGATCCTAAAGTGAAGGATCGTAGGTGTGGTGAGTTTCCATGACACCAAGAGTGCTTTACAGTTCTGGTACCAGTCTGTTCTATGACTGAGTAATCTAGACAGTCACCTGCTCGACAAGGCATTGTCTCTTCCTTTGAGACATCCGTCATGTCAAATCGTCAACTGGGTGAGTCTCAGGAACACACGTCTCACCGTCCCACAGTCAACTCTACTTCTCTCGTCAGGGGTTTTGTGTGGTATCAGAAACCCGTCTGGTGTGCGACCAAATATCAGAGGCTGAGAAAAGTGAGCTTGTGTGTGGGAGTCCATCTCTTATGGCAGGATCCCTTGTATTTGCCCTTTACTCTCGACCTTATTTTATCCTGAATCTGCTGAAGGTAGGGTGCAGCGCTGTGTGACCCTTTTTAGTTTAGCGCTTAGTTTTGATTGTAATAATAAAATTTGTAGTGGAGGGAAGGCGTGGTCGGCCTAGGAAAGGTTGGAGGGAGGGTGTAAAG